TTACACCACTGCTTATAATGAACAGTTATAGGATTATTCACACGTGTCTGTTACACACTTTTATTCATCTTGTTAAAAAAAAAAAAAGGGCTGCAACTCTCAAAATAGCCTTCATGGGGATTTTGAAGTTTTTACAGTGTATATTTTCATGCTTAATTATTGAAGTATGGAATGAATTCTGGGAAATTTTACAATGTTGGGTGAAGTCCAGGCTACTGTTCATTCATCTGTGACATATTGCTATTTTTAAACTCGAGCGCTTGGTTTAATATGGAGAATACGGGTCAATAATATAAAACACACTATGGTCATATATGATTCCATGTGTTTGGTCTTCATGGGGTTTGGCTTCCTGTTATACACGTCAAGAACATTTTACAATAAAGATATAAAGATAAAAGATATAAAATTTTATTTTAAATTGGCAATTGCTATGGTAACAATATGGTTTTCATCCAAGGATGAACCCCCCCCCCCCCCCGGTCCAAAATAAGTGAGAGGTGGTTTCATTTTTCATTTCACAAAATGTACAGTTTGTGTCCATTGTCCTTCTAAGATGATTCTTTTGTGGATAACAGTGATGTAGAAGTTTGTAGCAGATTTCTCTTTGCTTATTGGTGATGAGATATTTGTGAGGTCATGTCCAGACATTTATCAATGGAATATTATTAAGATAACAGCGCATGAGTAGGGCTCTGTTTGGGAGGTGCACTTGTGGTTATAGTCGCTCTTTTTCCACGGCGACTCATTATAAGGCAAGTCTAATTGAAGATGAAGCCAAGTAAGTTCCTTTTGAAAAAGTTGTTCAAAGTTTGGTGCAGCGTCTTCACTCACGGCTGCTCAAGTCGACATCTTCAGGTGCGGCCCTGTCCTGCCGCTTCCTCAGTTTATGCTCCTGGCTCCACTAATGACATCACTCTGTTACAGCCAATGAAACAGCGGCAGGAGTAACCCTGTCGACATATCACTGAATACATCTCAAAACATCTAATAAACAAAATGTGAACTAAAACATGTTCAATTAATACTGTTGAGTTTGGAAAAATAACAGAATAAATTTATATTTTTGTTTATTAAAATAAAACCATCCAAACCTTTGCCCTTGTTTCATCATTCTGAAACCCATGGATGGGAATGACATGTGTTTTAGAAAGCCTTGTATCTGTCTGTAGATTCTTTGTTGGGTGTACTATGTTGTTGTTACATTTCATGCTTTATTAAGCCCAATTAAAGGACTCACATTACGCTATTTTCTGACCTATGTTATAATGTTTCCTCATCAAAAACAGACCTGGAGTTGTGTTTTGTTTCATTCATTCATACATGTTTAACACACAAGCTCTGTATATTTAGACTGAGGTCTTCTCTGAAGCAGAAAGATCTGTTCCAGTGCTCCACTGTATTTTTAAACTCCACACACCTTCACTAGAATCATTTGGATGATTTCAGCCCTAGAATTGCCAAACTCTACTAAAGGTAAAAGGATCTGTTAACATTAAACTGACTGTTCCATGACATTAAATTGTGGAACAGATCATTTTGAACTTTGGAGATGTAGACAGACAGAATAATGCAATGATGTGTTAATGAAACAAAAGTCCAGGTATGTTTTTGAGGAGGTAACAACATTTTAACATGGCTTAAAGCTCACAAGAATACATTTTGTGTAATATAGGACCTTTAAGCTGCAGTTAAAAAGTGGTACAGTTGGAAATGTGACTCAGTGAAGCATAGCGCTCTTTATCGCGTGGATGAGTCGAATCTATTTTCTCTTTTGTCTAAGTATATCTCTGTGGCCGTGTGTCCTGATGTGCCTACATTTCAGTTCCTCACACTCACCACAAAAGTCAATGGGGCACTTTCTATTCTGAAAATGTTCTGAAAAGCTCCAACACAAACAATAAGATGCTTGTAACGTGGATCGTGACAGTCAAGAGTAAACCTCCGTTTTTCTCGTGAGAACACCACATAAAAGGAATCTCTCTATAGACATGAGCTTATCCTGTCTCCTCCTTTCACTCACTCACCTCCCTGTGACCTCCCGCTGCTAGAAAGATAGGCCTACTATACAAACATATGTATGGATACAATACATTTAAATGGCCCATATTACCTTATGTTGTTGCCTCATCACAAACATACCTGTTTTATGTTATTAGTTATGTTAGTTATGTTATTTGGTTCTTTTTCAGACCAAGAGTTTGTTTTCATACGTGACAGTTTGGACTGCTCACTAGCGCTCTTCCTCAGATTGGTCACATGATGTTGCTGTGACATGTCCAGTCAGCTGATTTATACAGGTTTTGGTGCTGTCTTCCTATTGGTGGAGGCAGGACTACAGCTCCATCTGCAGTATCCCAGGTGTGTTAGAGTAAAAAAGCCCCTTCATCATGGTTTATAGTCCCGTGGACATGTTTCTGTATTTCGATTGCCTCTTTAATCCAGCGACGGTGTTTGTTTTCCTCTGTCCCAGTGATGTTTGCTCTGTCCCAATCCATAATGTGGTGCTCTCTTTTACAGTGGTCAGAGATGTCCTGAGGAAGTCAGACTGCAGATGACGCTGTCATCCTCCCTACACCGGTATGAAGACAGCACCAATTCCTGTTTAAATCAACTGACCAGACACGTCACAGCAACATCACGTGACCACTCTGAGGAAGAACGCTAGTGAACAGTCGGAAAAGTGTTGGTCTGAAAAAAGAACCTAATAACATAAATTATCGGAAGACCAATAGACCAAATGTATATATATATATATATATATATATATATATATATATATATATATACACACACACACACACACCAGACACAGGTCATGTCAAAGAGACCTCAGGGCCTTCTTGTTATGAGGTTATACTAACCACTCAGCTTTTGAATCCTTCAATTACTTGATTTTTCCCCCCGTCTTTCACTTTTTCCTGAGTTGAGTCCAAGAAACACAAATTGTTTACATTCTATCTCCACCCTTTGCCACTTTAGAAAGCCTTTCAAACACTTCATGAAGACTTCCAATCCAAGGTGTGGTAGATCACTTATTGCCATTCATCATAATGACAGTGAGTGAGACCAAACACTGAGCACTGTGAACATTGGGAGGGTATCTGGTTTAAACTGTGAGACTTAAACAGAGAGATAAACACAAAGAGTGGATGCAGAGACTGTGTCAAATGATGAGGCTTTCAAACACATCCAGGCCCAGAGCTGCTCATTGATCAGATCCACAGAGCCTTTGTAGTCATGTGGAGATTTACGCTTTTTCTAATTGTGATGGCAGAATTTAAAGTGACGCTACGATCTAACTATGTAAGCAGAGGCATTTGTTTCATATCAGAAAGAACCAGCACTGACTTCTGTTGTTTAGAGAAAAAAATTGTCTGTAAAGTGCCTTGTCTAATAAAATGTGAATTATGTAACTTTTCTTGTGTAGGGTCCGCCACCTTCCTGTTCCTGTGGTAACATCTATAATGTTCCACAGAATGACATTCATTTATCTAGCTCCAGGAATCAAGCATGTGACCTGAAGTTACAGGTTAGATCTGTGGAGAGTCAACACCACTCACAGTAAGAATGCATGTTTTTCAAGGTAATTTTGAGAAGAATGTTTTTTTGGCACTTTTATCTGTTGAAAATTTAATCTCAGCAAAATGCAGTTTTTGATTCAAAACTGATCACTCATCCCCCAAAACCCACTTTTACCATCAAAAAGTTGAAACTCTTGACATGTGTTTTTCTGTGCTCTTTCATCCATTAAACTCTGCAGCCCACCTCAGACGTTTTAGTGTCAGGGACCACAGAGAATCACTGACTTAGTGCAGTCTGACTATGGGGTTCACACTTTACACACATGAATCTGGGGCTGGGAAGTTGTGCTTTTTGTCTAAAATTTGTCTGTATTGTATTATGTAATCTAAAATTACATTACCAATTGCAAAGTAGATTTTGCAGTATTTGATCAAAAATATTTATGCAGAAGAAATCAAACTGTAAGCATCTGAAAATGAATGTGTGTACTCAGAGCTGAGATCTTCTTCCTGTTTGACACGTGTGTGAAATCCTTTTCTGTTTGATGTTTGGTACTCACAAATTTTGATTTGCTGTTTTGTCTTATTTTTCAATTAAGAAAAGAAGACAATTTATCCCATTGAATTTTTGGTGACACTTAGTTACCATGGAAACCAAAGTCTATAAACCAGAGATATGTTCTTCAGACCAAAATTCACTAAGGCACTTAATGTAAAAATTAAAACAAGATCAAAACAAGTGAATGATGCATTAATAATGAATTTATTAATGAAAGTCATGGCTGATCATGATGATCAGCGGTGCAGACGCACACAGCGGCTCACAGCCTCTGCCACCCTCCGGAAAAACCGAGGAATCCTCCGCAAAAAGGAACGCTTAGGAGCTGCTTTTTCTGCCCCACCATGGAGACTCAAGAGTTCAGTGCTGCTCAAATAATAGAATGGCTCACACTCATCGGAGCTGCTACGAGGCGCTGTAGCTTCACTCGAGCAAGTAGAACATGGAGGTGCAAGTGCACATCTGGATCCAGAAAGTGACCAGACACCAGAGTCCTGAACATCAGATGTTGATTCTGGAGCATCTGATTGGACAGGAACTTCTACACTGGAGGTGTTCTCTGTGTCCTCTGTGGGACTTGAAGAAGAGCCCACCCCAGGACAGATCAACATCAGCTCCTCTGATATCTTCAAACTGAAAAACACACACATAAATTAGTACTGACACACTATTTGACTTTTTATGTAATTGTGTTGAGATGTTGATGATGTAGACTTACTATTCCTGGAGTCTAGTGTCCTGCAGATGAGACACTTGTTATGAAGCTCTGCTCGAGGGCCTGACTGGGAGTCACTCTCTGCTCCTTCCTTTCAGAAGGTCAATGAAGGCCTTCCTGTCCTCGTCCTCGGCTGAGTTATCTGGATATATCTGTACAACACACACAGACACACACACTGGTTAGAATCAAATATAGATCTGCATCATGTGAGTGGGGTGAGTGTTGATCAGTGGTAAACACTTATGTCGAGAAGGCCGTTTGAACAGATGGGGACATCAGAGAACACGGGCTTCTCCAGAGTGATGGTCTTGATTTTTGTAGAATATTCTTCTGGAGTCTATAAAATGAAAAAAGAAAGTGAAATTATAAGGCTAGTTTTGAAAGTCTCAAACCAAAATAAGATAATTCACAACAAAGTGAAGAATTACCAGAAGTCTCTATGCTGTGCCTTCAGGGTGCTGATTTTTGGTGAAAAACTTCCTGGTGTAGAGTCCAGTCTGCAGCATGTGTTCTGGGGTTAGTCCCAGTATGTACATGATGCGCTCTAACACTCGGTACTCACAATGTACCAGGAACATGTTATAAGAACATGTAACAAGAAAAAGGAAGGCCAGAACACAGCCGACCCCCCACACGTCTATGACCTCGGTGTATGGGAGACCAAGTGTGATCTCAGGAGCCCTGGAAAACAAAGCACACAATCAGATCAAGTTCAAATGATTTTGGTCCTTGTTTAGTCCTGTTTAGTCCTGGTTAGTCCTGCCTCGTACCTGTATCCATACGGCTGGATGAGAGCCCCTCACTTGACTTGGGAGGTTCTCTTGGCCTCTCCAAAGTCAATGAGCTTGACTCTTAGCGGCTCGTCCTTCACGTTGGTAAACATCATGTTGTCTGGTTTGATGTCTGTATGGACGAGCCCTTCAAGAGCATCTAAAGCACCAACAACTGCAGAGACAGAAGAGAGAAGTTAACATCATTTGAATCTTTAAAAAATGAACTGTTGTGTGAAAAATGTGGTCAAAATTGTGAGTGAGATCAACTAGATGTGTTTGAAAACAATATTCATTTTGTACATTTGTACTGTTAGAATATCTGTAGTAAATCCTTCAATACCTGGTGAGCAATAGGTCAGATCTCCTTCAGCTCGAGGGGCTCACAGTTATGCTTGACCATAAATATAAACAGGTCTATGTGGAGCATTTCAAAGGCCAGACAATGCAGGCCCATGAACTCAAACCGCTCCACAAAGTGCACTATGTTAGTGCGGACAGGGTCCAGGACATGGAGCTCGTCCTACATGGAAACCTACAACACAGAAGTCAGAGTTAAAACTGTGAAGTCAAAGACCATGATATTAAATAACATAAAGTAACACAGGACAAAAAGTCACCACCAAGATTTAACTAAGCAAATAAGTTACTTATTGGTCAGGTCTAGGTTCAGCAGAGGTGAGGTATACTTTTACTCTTACTTGTGTAGTAAATTCACAAAGTAACAGTACTCTTCCCAGATTAAAAGTTTTGGTTACTATTAGGACTACGACGATTAATCTGGACAATCATGACAAGTCGACTATATATGGTTGACTATTTTAATGATTATTTAGTTTGTCTAATCTATCCTTTAAAACTCTTTTTGGCCATCTTAACATGGCAAACATGACTCACCTCGTGTTCCATGTCTTTGACCTGCTGCTCTTTCAGGACCTTCACAGCCACAATCTGCTTATTGTCCAGTGTCTGGCACTTGGCTGCGTGGCTGAAGCAGCCCTCACCAAGACAGCTCTGGATCAGGTTAGTGTCGGTCAGGCAAAATTTAATCTCAACAAAATGCAGTTGTTGTTTTTTTTCCATTCAAAAAAGCTGAACCTTCATCCCCCAAAAGCCAGTTTCACCATCAAAACTCTATGTGCTCTTTCATTTATTTGACAGAGCACCTCAGAGGTTTTAATCCTGCTCTCAGGGACCACAGAGAGTCAATGGTTCAGTCTGACAATGCAGTTCACACTTTACACAGATGAATCTGGGGCTAGGAAACCTGTGCTTTTTTGTTTGTAAAATATTATGTACAATATAAATGTCAACATGACCAGTTACGTAAAAAGTAGATTTTGCAGAATTATGTAGACTGTATATTGCATATATCCAAATTATTTATGCTGAAGAAAACTGATGTGCAATAGTAAATACATCAACACAGTTTTTGTACAATAATATGTCATTTGTTCTTGAAAGTCTAACAAGACAGTTGTACATCTCACCATGTGTAAATCTGTATGTAGTCTTTATATTCACACAGTCTGTACTCAGTGCTGAGATGTTTCTTCCTGCTTGACTCGTGTGTGAAATCCTTTGCTGTTAGATTTTTTTGGTGCTCACAAATTGTAGATTTTTGCCTTTATGTTTGAATTTCTATATTGAAAATGACAGAGTTTGAGCCAACATGTGAGAACAGACCTGTAATACTGAACAAACAAGATGTGTTTGTGACTGACACTGTGTCAAGTGTTCTGAGAAAAAGCCTGAAAGCAGAAAGTGTGACGTGATGAGAAACCATACGACCTGAGCCCCTGTTCAGATACAGATTTGAATCAAATGATCAAACTAAACCAAGTTTTTAAAATGTGCTAAAACAATTGAAACTGTAAAAGCATACAATTTAATAAATGCATAACAGATTATTTTTATGTCATAGTCAGGAAAGTTTCATGATTGCAGATTTTTTTTACTTACTTAGACTTAGACAAATTTTACTGATCCACAAGGGAAATGATTAGGACACAGCAGCTCACACATCACAATATAATATAATCACAAAGAGTAAAAATGATAAATGGTAATAATATAATCTAAATAAGTAGCAAAAAAGAGCAAGAGACTGGTGTGAAATGAGACATAGTTATATAAATGTACAAGTCAAAATAAAATAGAAAGATTAAAAATAAAATATAAAATCACATCTTTATACAAGAGTTCACAGAAGACAGTTTTACAGCGTAAAAATCTGTAATTTACTCTAATATTTTCAAACCTGTGATCATATTTTGGTTAAAACTGTTCAGTTCTACACAGCAAACTATTACTGGTAAAAAGGAATATTTTATCCATATTTGGTTAAAGCTTAAACACAAAATACATATTAATATTACATTTAATATCAAATGAATCAACTTGGAGGAAGATTATATTATTTTAATTATTATTATATTATTATAATTATTATAATTATTACTATATTAATTAAAGCTGCACTCTGTTATTGCTTTGTCTGATGTTTCACAGTATGATATTAAACCTTTCTATCTTCATGGAGACCAAACTAGACAAAGTTACAGGTCAGATTTGTGGAGAGGCAACCCTGCTCACAGTCAGAATACCTGTTTTTCTGCGTAATTTTGCGCTATAAAACCACCTGTAATTGAATAAATGTAAGGCAGAGCTGTTTAATGTCACACTGTGGAACATTCCAGGCAGACAACAAACAACATCTCCATAGAAACAAGCAGGTGACGGACCCCTAACCAAAAAGTCACACGGTGCACCTTTAAGGAGAGAGAACATTGTTGTGTCTTGTAGGTTTCGCACTGGAAGCAGATGTCTCACCACTGGCTGCGTCTCTGTTTGTTATTGTGGCCTCTTCTTCTCTTATCGCGTGCAGAAATAGATCAACAAACCCCCAAAAGTCGAAAATAACCTGAGACTGACAAGTGTAGTGATGTCGGAGGAAAGGCTGTAATCTGGGTCTGGCTCTGAGGAGACACTCGCAGCAACTAAACCTTAATTTGAAATACATATTGGGACTTAAAGGTGTTATTTGAAATACTTATAGACTGTATACTATATGCAGTAGTGATACATTACCTTGGATCCTCTCTGATCGTATAACTAAGTAGAATTGTCAAAAAATAATGTCAACGTAGGGCTATAACTAGTTACTGGAATGACAAGTATTTCAATCTTGAAAGCAGCTGTAGCAAAGGAGTTGATTTATTCCATCTGCAAACTATCAGAAGTCAAATTATTTAAAGTACATGTATGTAACCAAGGAAGATGTAACTGCTTTAATGTTCCACAATTAACATTATACTTCTTGCTTTTATTCCATAACAAGTGTTTTTATCGCTCCAGTACGGTGGCTGACACTTTTACATTTCACAACACACATTTACATCTCGAAAACAAATTCCAAGTTTCATAAAACACATTTGAGAATGAGCAAATAAATTTACAAAACACGAAACATTTGCAGAAGCACAGAGACAAATTTACAAGTGGCACAAACACAAATACAAACTCCCAAAACAAATGAACAAGAAAGGGACTGTCCTAAAAAGTGGAAAAGACAAACCACCATGATGTTAGTTTTGCTCAGTAGTTCACTAATGCGTCGTCGTTGTTCTCCTTTAAGCTTCCATCTTTCTTATGTTGATAGTTGTGGATGAATTCTTTCATGTTAGAATGTTTATCCTTTGTGGACCTTGTTGGATGAAGATTTGGTGATGGAGCAGATTTATGAAGCTGCTGGAAAATACATGAGACATTTCCACAGATATTTTGCATTAACTGGAAGTGACGTTTACCCGACATCGCAGCCGTTTTGAAAAAGATCTATGTGTTTCAGGAGTTTGTATTTGTGTTTTTGCCACATGTAAATTAGTCTCACCACTTGTACAAATGTTTTGAGTTTTGTAAATTTGTTTGCAAATGTGTTTTATGAAACATAAATTTGTTTTCAAGATGTAAATGTGTATTTTTTTTTTTTCAAGCTTGAACAAGTAAAAAAAAGCTTGGTAATATTAAAACTAATATTAACAAAATAAGAAAAAATAAATAAATAAATAAAACAAAATTATATATATATATATATTAGAGCTGGGTATCATTAAGAAGTTGCCGATACAATACATAACTCGATACACAGGCCATGATATGATACATATCTCGATACAGCGCACTTTCGGTTTGATACGATATATTTCAAATCGATTCGATACGGTTCAATAAAAAAACAATGGCTTAAATCATGGCTGTGATACTAAAAGTCTTTGTTAAACCACGTCTTGTGCAAAGTTCATATGAAACACAAACATTTTAATCATCAACACAGTGAAAATGTCAAATGTGTCGCATAAAAAAGTTTCCTTCCTCTGAACAAGCAACAAAACTGTAGCACTGTAAGAAAATAATTTTGTACAATATAACAAAAATACCCTTGGCGATATATCGATACAGCAGTCTCCCTTTATCGATATTGTATCATCACATTAAATGATACGATATACCGATATTTTTGCACACCCCTAATATATATGCATATATACATACATACAATGGGACACATACATAAACATATACATATATATATATATATATATATATATATATATATATATGAGTCATACTCAATTAAAATCTAAATGGGGCAACAAACATTCTCCAAGTTTTCCAGTAAATTTGTCAAAGTCAAGTCTCATATTAAATGTAAATTTTTCCATTACATAAATTATGTGAACAACATTGATCCAGTTTCAATGCACAGAACTTTATCACTAAGCCGTCTTTTTGTAATACACTTTTTCCCAGCAGCCAGTAATATATCATAAATATATTTCTTACGTTCTATAAGATGGACAGGCTTTAGTAAATGTGTATTTTAAATGTAATTTTGTTTTCAAACTTGTTAATGTGTGTTGTGAAATGTAAAAGTGTTTTGCACTTGTTGGCCACCGTACTTAAGAATAGCTTGAAAAAAAAATTGCGTACTTTTTCTGCAGATTTGACTTGTAATTTGGCATGGTGATGTTGCCTGCTTGTCTCCACGGAGATGGATAAGTTTAATGCCACACTGAGGAAAAATCTAGGCAAAGCAATAACATCATCATGGAGAGAAGCAGAAACATCACATAGTAGCTTTTAAATATGACATTAAAATTACTGTTTAATATGAAAAAATCTGATTTTAAAAAGTTCAAATGAGTTGCTCTGTTCATCAAATTGTCTGAAATGTTCAAAAGCATGACAGATTTGGACCAAAATGTAACAAGATTGTAGTGAAAACGCTAAGGGAATAATTATAATTGCCTGTTTAAGTTTTATCCCACAGTATAATTTTAATTTTTTTTTGCATTTTCCATTTCTATCCTCGTGCAGAGTGTGTGACCGTGCATTCAACCACAGCCCTGGAACACCATGGACACTTGTGTTTATCATTATGGAGCATCTCCGCCTCAAATGAATGGTTTACAAACGCACTTCATGCCTTTATGTCTGGCTTCCTGCCGTGAGTGGCATGTCTACACTCGCGTACACAATAGCCTTAAATGTAGCTTAATCCTGTCTTTTCTTCTTATGTGTTTACTCTTCCTGTAGGGGGCAGTGTTTGAATTGAAGTAGGAAGCGGATCTGTCAGCACCCGTCGCCACAATAGGTTATTAATGACACTGTGGACTTTGAAGAGACTGCGCATTATTTAACCCAATTACAAAAGCGCTAAATAAAAGTTACGGCTGATGTGGGAATGCTGCATTGCATAACACGCTTCATATATTTTTGACGTCAAATCCGAGCACTTAAACATCCATTTGAAGCTTTATTTCATCTCATCTGCGGTTATTTTCACAGTTCAGTGAAATGACTCATTATTTGCCAGTTTTATTGTTTTTTCGCTTTTGCGCGTAAAACAAAAAGCTCATTCTGTACAACTGTCAAAAGTAACAATAATGTTTTAAGTGTTTTCAGGTCTGAACGCAACAACACTGGGTTCATAAAGCTTTTTTATTTAAAGCTGAATTTGATGACAACAGAGGTGGGACTCTAAAGTCGTGACTCGGACTCGAGTCAGACTTGAAGGTCAGTGACTCGGGACTTGACTCGGTCTTGAGGCCTGTGACTTGAGAAGACTTGATGCGTCTAAATAAATATATGTTTTTAGAAAATACTTTTCTCTTTACAGTTGATAAATGCAGTGTTTAATTTTACAAGAACAAACTGGAACATGTTCCTCCCACTTCTGTTTGGTACTTTGGATGTAACTGAAGTACTGTGATGTGGTATTCTCAAATGTACTACAATAATGTACAGTACAATACAGTACAACACAGTAAAACAGAGGGAATTACACAGAATATGATCAGTGCAGACACATGACAAAATAACTCTTGTTAAGCACTTTTAAATCTAAATGCTTACCATTCTGACCATAATAATTTGCACTCTTGTCAAGACATTTAAAAAGGAAAAATGAGCATTTCTACAACTCTTATATAAATATACCATGACATTTTAAGTACAATTTAGTTTAAAAGTCATATAAATTGCAAAAATGTAAGCTATATATTTACTTTGGTACTTTGGTTTAAAAACTTGAAATGACTTGAATCTCAAAGCAGATGACTTGGACAGTGACTCGAGACTCGACTTGGACTTGCCTGTATTTGACTTGACTTGACTCGACCTCTTTGAGATCAAAGACTTGAAACTTACTTGAGACTTGTAAAACAACGACTTGGTCACACCTCAGGATGACAACTTTATTGAAATTCATCCAACAGTAGAGCTGTAACGATATCCAGATCTCTCGATACGATATTCTCATGATATCCATCTCACAGTGTAATATTTATTGTGATATTTTGTGGAGCCAAAAAATAATAATATAAAATTGTGATGCATCAGAATGATATATGTGCTACTTTTCTCTCGTCATCCAAAGAGCCAAAAAATTATGATTTTAAAGTGCTTCATAACAGTTATTTTAGCTTGTAGATTGGACTGAAACAGAGCAAAGGAACATAGTCTGTGTAGTTCTCACTATTTTTTTTTTAGCTGTTGCTCCACCAAAACAATTAATTTAAGCAAAGAGGCTTGTAATTTTTTGATATATTGTGATGGCCCACGATATTATTGTGAGAACTTTGACGATACAATATCACCGTATTTCTGTTATTGTTACATTCCTATCCAAATAGCGAACAATGCAAACAATAATGATTAATTAAAGTTGTAAAAATAGCACAAGACTTGCCACATAAGCAACAGATACAACAATTTAAAAGTTCTTCCTTATTTCATCACAGTCTGTTTCTTTTTTGGGATACAACAACTCATTAAATCGCCTCATTTAGCCTCTGAAAACCGGAATGATACAAGAGGAAGGAGGATTGAGTTGTTTGTAAAATAAAGTCCAAAATAAACCACATCTAAAGCTGCCACATCCTTAGTGAACACGTAACCCAGAGGAAGTAATAAGAATAGGCTCTGTACACTGCGCGTACTTAATCAATTGGCACGTTCCCAAAGCGCTGTTAGCCGATATATCTTGTCCAGTTAATCTCCCAATTTATCGTTTCTAGGCTACCATCACATTAGCAACCTCTTTTACCCCACCCATTCTTTCTCTCTCTCTCTCTCCCTCTCTCTCTGCATCCATTTCTCTCTTCTTTCTTTCTCAATGAAGTTTCAGCACAGCTCCTCCAGCCCCTCCCACCCGGTGCTTTAATTGTCATCCTCGCTTCGTCTTAAAAACCGTGCGCGCCTATAGTCTCTTGCATAACTCCGGACGCGAACGAGAGCGCACTGGCACGTACTCGCTCCCCGTCTCAGATCATCCCGTGTTGTCTTCATGCGCATTGCCTGACGTACCGGTGAACGATGCAGGTGTGCGCCGTGATAGTCCTCGTCTCCAGCTCGGTTCTGCTTCTGCTGCTCCAGGGATGCTGCGCCGCGGCGAAGGACTGGAAAGTATTGAACAACGATGCCACGGAGAACTTACCGGAGTACAGAGGCAATGCCAACGCGCGGACGCAACAGCAAGTGATGGCGAGGGCGTCCAACAGCGGCAACCACAACCACACTTTGAATAACAGGGCGAAGAACGGAGGAAGGGCAGCTAATACGATTTCATATAGTAAGTGTGCCATTATGGATGATATTTGGAGTTTTACGCACATTACGCACAGTCAAATGTTACAAATTACAGTCATATGTGCTTAAATGTGTACAATTTATGTCACTTGAGAGCACGTTTAGAATAACTTAACTCATTTAAAACATGGAAAACTGATTGAGAATATGATTTGGCACACAAGTTGGCTCGTTTTGTGCTTAATTTACGCACACAACAAAATAGCGATAGACACTTGACACTGGCTTTTGTTTTAGATTACACTCTGCAGACGTCAATTCTTAAAACAAATCAAAATAAAATAAATCTTATGTCATAACTGATGTGAAAATTAACAGACCCCTTGCCCATAATTATGCTAATTAACCAACAAGGGCGTTTGTGCTCAAGTGGAATCGTCAAACTTTCACCTTTTGCAAATCAAATACAGGCCCAGGTCTGTATAATTGAACCCATCTTGTCACAATATAAGAAATTTCCCTTCATTTGAGTTAATTCCTTCCCACTAATTACCAAATTAAGAACAGCTCCGGCGCAGTGTTGAGTTTGTGCCCAGTGCAAATGTGCGGTGGTGGCGTGTGATGTAGAGACATTTTTGTGGCTTCTGCTGCACTCCGCGAGTTGAAATGAAGCGTTTAAAGGAGAATCAACATTTTTCACTCATTATTTCCTATACTATTAGAAAGAAGGGCTTTACTCACTCTCTGCGTAATTGTGATTGCAACAACGTGGGTTCTCCAATGGAAAATGCCAGAGTTTATACATCAATAGTTTTCTTTGGGTGGTTTGGGATCGCCTTTTAAATGCAAGAATGCCTTTGAGATTACTCCCACCTGTTACCAATGAAAATATTCTGATTGGGTCTAGCTCTGTCAAACTGGGTGGTACATTTATCACAATTTAGTCTTAATTTCAACAATTAACTTATTGATTGCATGGAAAGAAGTCATTATCTATTAGTGGTGAGGAGATGGAGAGAGCTACATTGTTTGCAAGCGAGAGTTTTACTTCTTGATGATAATAATAATAGGCTATTTAAGCAGAAGTATGTACACTAAAGAATTAAAATCGAGTTGGGGTGATGAAGCATAAAAAAGATGATTTATATTATTGAGATTTGATTATTTTTTCCCACTCACGTTTGTATAAGATTAACATTGAGTGGCAGTGGTAGAATATAGCTAGAAGTTCCATCTTTTTTTAATATATAAGTAAAAGTTGTGGTTTGCGGAACATCCTATTTACAAAAGTCCACTAGGCTAAAAGTCACTACAGTAAGCACAGTACCGAGAATGCAAAAAATCAGATTATGTGTTCCATTATGGCTGTAATTTAAGGCTTCATAAAACAGTTTTGGTAGCTCATCGACAGTAATAGGCAGCCTCTTTGTCCGCGGTCGTCACGGTGTCAGCGCGGTTTGGACCGGTGCCTGGCCCGTCTCCAGCTTTCTCCCAAACGACTCTCTCCCTCTCATCACACAGGGAGAATTAGCAGCTCACGCAACTGTACAGTAGTCTGCCGTGATCTGCTTACAAGCCATTAAAAGATTGTTTTTTAATGGGCAAAATGCAAGGAAATGCGTTATTTATTTCAGTGTGCTTTGCGTTGCTCAATATTACAACAGAAGTCGCCTCCCAGGGGAGAGCCAAAATTATTATGAAGAGAAAATATAATGGAAATGGTCTGGTTTAGGGCGCATTCACACTTGCATACACAAATCAATATTGGGACTAAACCTGGAACTAAGGGCCTGTTTACACAAGAACGCTTGCGGGTAAAAACGACAAAATATTTTATCAGAAGTGCCTTTCGTTTAAACGGTGATGGCATTTTTGGAGCTTAAAAATGCAAAAATCTGAAACCAGCCTCCAGAGTGGAAAAGTTGAATACACTCCACCATAGCGTTTCTGTCTACACTGCCCAAGATGCAAAACTCTGGTCAAATCTGCTCACTTCACGTACACGTTTACGCCACATACATCACCACCTAGTGTCACCACCGAGCCACCCGGCATGCATACCCAATCCAATTCCACACACTTTTGCGTCACCATATGCACGCAGATTTCCTCCTGTAAACGCTCATCTAAACGCAGAATAAAAAGTGAAGACGCAACGCCACTTTTGCGTCTTCTGTTCAAACCATCATAATATAAACGTAGCCTAAACTTGGGCTGGACCAGGACTCAAAATCAGCTGTAAACAGGACTAAACTGTGCTAAAGTGAACATATCTTTTAGACCTCTGTCAAGGTTTAGTTGTTGATCTCGCAATGGTGAAGACGTTTGCTCAAACTCTAAAATATCAGTGATAATTTCTCCCAAAATAAAACCATGTGCATCTTTGTATACTTTAACCATAACAAATCAAGTGTTATTTTAGTTTTATCTTATTTTGCAGTGGTACAGACGCTGCGTGATAACTTGAGTCCATATGTCATAGTTTAGGAGTAAATGCATGTTCCATATTGTCTTACAAAGTTCTCTTAATCCTGAAAAAACTATTACTTTTAGTCCATTCTCTGGCTGGAGAAAGCAGACATGGAATTCAAGTATTTAGTATTAATTTCACACAACAGCTTGTCTGTGTGGTAAGCGCCACTTGATGCGTGTGGTAGCCATTGTGTACAACTGTGGCAATCCCTTAGTGGCCACAACAGAATAACACGAGATCAGGTTTTCGAAAAGGGAAGTCACCGCGTATAAACCCTTTGTTTAACCCTAAAGAAAACCACGCAGGGAATTAGATACTTGGGCTAGCGTATCATTTGTTAACCGACATTTCACTGCTTCTTGTAAAAATGGGACAATAACTGGAGCTGTTAAAAGTTGTGGCTACTATATAGGATTACAAGCCGTGGATGTTATCTGAAATCAGTCTGGCAGATGTCCAAGATAGCACCAAAATGTTCGGCCTTAAAATAACTAGACCACAGCTATTTTCTCTGCCCCGGGTTTCCTGAGGGCCAGTGTCCAATGCCAGTTTTCCTCCCCAAAATGAACCCTCCATTATGTTCGATTGAGCTTGAGTTGTTTAATGGCCCCACAGTCTGGATTTGCTATCAGCTGAGTACTGCCAGTTGGATGCTTTTGTCAAACTCTATTGTCAGCTAATCACACAATTCAAACTGTGAATCTGGCTTAGATTTAATGTACACAGTGAGTAGGTGGTACTTGAGTAACACTGAAATATATTTTACTTAGTACTACTGACTCTACAAAAAATCTGACTGCCTCTAGTGGTACTACCACCCCCTGTACACCCTTCTCTGTTATCATACACCAGTGAATATTGTTTATGCAACTAGAACTAGAAACTAGAAACTAGAACTACAGGCTGCTATAACTGCTAATAATCTGGTTTATTTGACCTACATCACATCACATGTACTTTACTTATGTGACCCACATTAAAGGTACTCTATGTAACTTTTCTGGGCGAGGGTCTAACAATCTTAACAATGTTATGCTTTGCCTAGAACAGGGGTCTCCAACATTTTTTCTCTCCAGTAAGCAACCAATTTTAGCAGTCGCAAAGAAACAAAGTAAATATAAGAGCCACTGCGAGCCTTAGATGGGGAACAGTAGTCTGATTCATCAGCCGGTTTCACTTTGTGGAAACCGTCTGACCTTGCAGTGTTAAGATTTGTTCACTCGACAGTAGGCGGGTACTTTTTTTTATTTAACCAATCGCTGCTATTTGGTTGTGATGTATGTAATGCGCCGCTAACGTGGCTAACTGGTATATTAAGCTTTTCCCAAATCCTATAGGAAGAAGGGCAATAACGTCTTTCCCCTTGATAAAATTCACCAAACATTCTCTTTGTTCCAGCTTTAAATCCTCGATCTTGGGAATCATTGCCAACACAGAATGTATGGCTCTTCATTGATTGGCTGGTGCCCGGATTTGCACTTCAGGGTTTTTTGCAAACCGTCTAGTGTATTTTGATTCCTGACCTAGTCACTGGAGAGAAATGAAAATGAGCAGAGGTACTAGGCGGCGCCAGCCTAACTAACTTTTCTGGGTGAGGATCTAACAATCTTAACAATGTTATGCTTTCCCTAGAACAGGTGTCTCTAACATTTTTTCTCCAGTCAGCTTCCTTTATGAAACAAAAATGCCAGAGAGCGACCAATTTTAGCAGTCACAAAGAAACAAAGTAAATACAAGAGCCACGGCGAGCCTTAGATGGGGAACTGTTAGATGCTTATAAAACATAAACCATTATCCATTTATCGGTGCACCAAGTTGTGTATCAGAATGATATATTTACCTTTAATTAATCAAATTTGACTTATTATCCACAATACATATATTTCAGAAATCCTTTGGTGAGCTACTTGGAAGGGGGTGGAGAGCTACTGGTAGCTCCTGAGCCACAGGTTGGAGACCTCTGGCCTAGAATTTTCTACAGTGTGGCAATAAACTTTTCTATCTCCATATCAACAAGCAACCACCACCATAGGTCGGATCTGTGGAGAGGTGACCAAGCTCACAGTGCAATTGCTTGTGTTCCAAGGCATTTTAAGCAATGAAAACAGCCCTATATAGATATATAAGTTGAATGCCATATTGTGGAACATTCAAGTCGGTCCACCAGAAAAGTTTGCATAGTGCACCTTTAAACAAAACAAAACAAAACAAAAAAATCAGTAAAACAAAAGTAGAAATGTGTTAATGTTTTTGTAAAATAAAGCAAACATTCTCCACAAATGTATTCAAGAAACCACATATACTCTGTACATCTGTCCATTCCAAACAGTTTATTCTGGACTGAAGCCATAACCCTAATCATGAACTCTGTCTTTCTCCCCAGGTGCCTCTGAGCTGAGCTGCAGAGAGCTGCGTTCCACTCGCTACATCACGGACGGATCCTGCCGCAGTGCCAAGCCCGTCCGGGAGCTGGTGTGCTCGGGACAGTGCATGCCCAGCCACCTCCTCCCCAACTCCATCACGAGGGGCAAATGGTGGAGGAACAACGGCTCCGAGTACCGCTGCATCCCGGCGCATTCCCGGACGAAGAGGGTCCAGCTCCAGTGTCCCAACGGAAACACTCGGACTTATAAAATCCGCGTGGTGACATCTTGCAAGTGTAAGCGCTTCAGGCCCCACCACAACCAGTCGGAGGCCAAGGAGGTGCCCAAAACGCAGAGGAACAGGAAGCACGGTCGGTTGTCCCAGGATAGGAACAAAAACAATACGCCTCTCATAGACAACATGTACTGAAATGACTTTGAATAGGACTCTAGATATACTATACAAGAATATATCTCCGGCAAAGAGGAGATGAGACTCATAAGCTAATATGTGCTGGGCTGGTTCAAGTCATGGACATCATTATCAGTCCTGCTTCTCAGCCATATTGTCCAATGTGATATAATGCATGACAAATACCATTATCGAGAGCTTGGCCGGTCGAGAGATGTAGCACTGAGTCAGATAAACATAACATGTTGAAAATATCGCTTAATCGCTTTGACACTATCTGATTCAAACTTAACGAGAAGACCTGAATGTTTCCGGTCCACCTGTACAAACACCCAGCGGATACGCACAACAACACTCGGCCGTAACTTTCCAAGAGCTCCAAGGTTTTCTGAAGGCAGGTTTTGCTTTTAAATGGTCCTAATCCATCTCCATTCTGGCTCTGGTTCGGAGGAGATGACAGCAGCTAAGGAAGGGGTCAGACGTTGGATGTTGACAGGTATTGATGAGGTTTTGGACAGTGCCTCAGCTCCTCAGTCATCAGGACAGCCCCGAGCAGCAGTGTGTCCCAACTGGAGCCACCGAACCCCGTGCTTGTCAGCTACAGTAGCGACTTTTCCATGACTCAGACTGAGAATCTGGACAGAAATGAAAAGGGAAGACATGATTTTATATTAGCTCTGACGCAGCTTTGTAATTTGTGAATCTGAAGGTACATTTCCAATAAGATGGTGAGGAGTGAGTTAGTACGAATCATATCAACCCAACCTAAACATGCTCAACAGGTTGTCTTCCAGCTACAGATTCCTGACCAATATCCCAGCCAAATTTTCTGTGCCGGTTCAATTAAATCTACAAGTAGAAAAGTCACAGTTAGCTTTGGATTTGAGAGAAATATAATAAAGTTTTTTGTTTTAAACAGCAGTAATGAACACTATACTGACGCTGTGCTAAGATAATGCACAAAATCTAAGGAAAGTTACAGTTTTTTTTTTGTGGTAGTATACCTTACCTTACCTTACCTTACCTTACACAAATAAACAAAGGTAAATGCAGATTCCAAACTGAAGGGTCCCACCCAGTCCAGGAATCGAACCCAGGATCTAACCGCTCCAAGACCTCTTGTTGCTTTTCCTCAATCTCATACTTCACACTATATTATTACGATTTTGTCAAGCATAAAGAAATTGTCCTCATGAGTAAATTTCTCCCCGTCCTTCAAGACCACTGAGGCGACTATGAGGAGCAGTGTGGGACCCATCTCCAGATTTTGAGCTAGGCTTGTCAGGACTACCTTAGCTAGAGGATTTTAACTTATTGTGCATGTTTTGGGTTTTGAGTCTTACAGGAGATAAACATGTAAACCAGGACGAGAATCAAACCTTTAAACATCGTGCACACAGCATCGTTTTCAAAAAAGTTTTCGTTTATATCAACCCGCATAAATATGCCATCAAGCGCCATCATAACTACACCGAGCCTCTGGGAGGCACCTGGATTAGATTCAAGCCTGTAGCATTTATTTTATTACAGTTTAAGTTTTACTCAGAAATACCTTGAAAAACATGCATTACTGAGTGGGCTCGCCTCTCCACAGATATGTTAAAGAAGTGGCAAAATTGCTGAACTCCGAGTGCTCATTGGTCTCTGATCATGGATATGAAACATCAGCTGTGTGTGCAAATGCAAATACATAAGAAATGCGACTGCTGCTCTGAATGCTTCCATGATCATAGCAAAATGTAAACATTGGACGCACTTTACATGAAAACACAAAACCGTAGTTTTCCAGAGTCTCCACTCTAGCTGGAGTTTTTAGAAAGATTCATTTTCAGGGGCGAATTTTCCATTTGCATGTAAAAGGCAGGTACAAATGAAGGGAAATGTCTCAGCCTTAACCTTGCTGTGAGGTGAGTGTGCTTCCCACTCAGCCACTGTGCCCCTCACCCACCACACCAATGCAGATTCAAAAACAGTATCTATAAAACTTGAGAGACTCTGATCTAAGTTTAATGATCACACAAACTTATAATCCATAGATTTCAGATTGAAAAAAATGCTACTATTGTTACTATAACAATTAACAATTCATAATAAAATATTCAGTCTTTTCATTGTCCAGAGTCATCAAAATGTCTCTCACAAACAAAAATCTACACCCAATCTACTACCCATTATTACCAGCTGTTGCCATAGAAACATCCTGACCTGACCCACACAGAGTACGTTACCTCTTCAGCGGAAATGTCCCCTAAAAATGAGGCTAAGCTTGTATATCGGTGTATTTCCTCTCTCCTCTTTCACGAGCCACTTCCTGTTTGCACTTTTGAGGGAGGCGTCAGGTTGTAGATGCCACGTTCCCACACACTTTGCGAAATCTCTCCAATCATTTCACTCCCACTGCTCTGCGCAATCCTCTTGTGTAAATATGTGAAATCAAAAATAGCAAATAAAAGAAATATTTAATTTGGACCAGGAAGTGGCAATACCTGGTTTCGATCTATAGACATCACAAACGTCTTCCTTGGTGGGACTCGATTCACGACAAGTATTCTCTACACTTCCTGAAATTGTTTGCGGCTCAGTGTTTGTGCCCATATTACTTCCTGACTTGATTTGTCCAAACTGTGCTGGCGATGTTTGCTTTTTGTCGAATTGTGTTTTCGAAATAGCGTCTGGAGTTGGTTTGTCATGTGAGTGTACATATCTTACTTGTGTGGTCCTCTGCAGTGCTGTCTCCAATGGACACAGAGAGACATTTTAGGCTGCTTTGAGACACAAGAAGGACGATTATAGAGAATGAACTGCGTATTTATTTTATTTCTACATTTAAATTATTTATGCAGCCTTTTGTAGTAAATGATATCCAATATTGTCATCTAGTATGAACTTGTACAGAATATAAATAAAGTAATGGAAGGTATATACAGTCTGAGGCATTCTGTCTGCTTTTTTTTTTTTTTTTTACCCTGATCAACCAGATACGTTTATTATGTTTTGTGTTGCATTTTATAGGTGCACTATGTAACTTTTTAAGAGGATTTGCATACTGCTTGTCTCCATGGAGATGTTGCTTTGCTTGGAGTGCTCCATGGTGTTGCAATAAAAAAATATGTCATTTATTATATTAAAAGTGTTTTTATTGTTAACACATGCATTTTTACTGTGAGTGGAGTAGCCTCTTCACAGATCTGACCTGTAACTTGATCTGGTAGAATCTCCTTTTCACCATGTAGGTCAGACATGTCAAACAGATCATATAAAATATATATTAGAGCTGCCCGCTGGCTACAAATAGGCTTCAGAGACATTATTTATTAAATTTTTATTATTTTATATTGTATTTGTTCTGGATTTCAATGTTTAAGCAAAACTATTATTACACATTTATTTTAATAAGAAAAGGTTTAACATTACAAAGCTCGAAAGAAGAGAAAACATGCAGATGTTGGTGACATTTTTCAACAAATATTTAGTTTGGCCCACAACCCAGTTTTTAATTTTGGTCCTCTGAATTTGAGTTTAACACCCCTGATGTAGGTAGATACGTTTAATGCCGTATTGTGGAACATCCCAGTTAAAGCAATGACATGTCCATGGACAGCTCAAGGAAAGTTACATAATGCACTTTTAACGCATATTTTTCATGTTCACTTTTTGGAAGCATTATGAATGACAGAAAGAGTCATGTATAGTAGCACAGAAGTAATGGAAAGAAAAAAAAGGCATTTTAGCATATTTTGTACTTTTTTGTACTATACATTTTTAAGAAGTGCTGCTTTCACTTTCACAAAATGAATCCCTTACCTTGGCCAAACCTTTCAAATGAACAAGTTATCCAAAGTCACTTGTGCCGACTTGGTTTTCATCCATTTAAAAAATCTGTTAACATTTTTGTGAAAAGTACGTAAGGGACTTTCTTCTGAACTGTCCTCAAAGTCTGTCACGTTTTTGATTTGTTTTGTTTAAAAATGGGTTGAATCCAGCCAGAGCCGCCACTCACATCACTGCACTGTCATCTCTGTCCCCCGAAGGTTCAGGCCTGATGGACTATGACTTAATATGTTTACAATTCACCACGCTTTGTTCTAGTTAAGGACTTGGTTGAACCACATAAACTTTAATTCAATAACAGGTCATGCTCTGTATAAAAAGACATAAATCAGGCATCTTTTGAAGGGCATATATTACACCTTTTTCTAATCTCTGTTAGAATGTTTCCTTATCAAAAACATACCTGTAGTTGTGTTTTGTTCCATTCACACACAAATCCTGCATATTTAAACTCTTCTTTCAAACAGAAAACACTCTTCCACCTTGTGATGTAATACAGGAAGTGCTCCACTGTGTTTTTAAACTCCATGCACCTTCGCTAGAATCATTCGGATAATTTCAGACCTGAAATTGTCGATCTCTACTGAACAAAAGGTAAAAAGAGCTGTTGAAAACTATTGCTTCATGACATCACAAGGTGGAACAGAGCATTTTGAGCTGCAAATGTAAATAGACTAATAATAATGAACATTTCAGGAAGGCTACTTTTCATCTGTAGTGCAGTGACAGGTGTTAATGTTGGCAAAAACAAACAAACAAATAAAAAACATTTAACTCAGATATTTACACTGTTTACAATATTAGACACAGACACATCAGTTAACCAACAGACCAGATGAAGATGTGACCTGATTGTGACTGAATCCATTAGTCAAGCTCTTCCAAATATGGCTGTGCTTGTTTATTTGCTGCCTAATATTATTGTAGTGTTTAATAATAATAATATGCCTAATAATAGTGTTTATTTCCTACCAATGATCATTATTTTGTAGCTGTAAATGTATACTGTGTATACAGTGCCTAAACAAACATTGGGTAGAGTAGACAAACACTGTACTCGAGTACCACTCCTGCAAAACATTATTCATGGACAAAGTTGTGGTCCAACAAACTTGTAAAGTAAGAGTAAAATAAAAACTAGAAACTATCAGTATGGATCTGATTTATAATTATAAAGTTAATGTAAC